GAAGAAGAGATCTAACTAAAGGATAGTATTGTAATTTAAGGTCCCAGTTTCAGGCCATGTCCTGTCATTTCCTTTCCATGCTGTATTGTAGAAGAAAATAGGATTTTGTTTGTTTTAAGCCATCTAATTTGAAGTCCTTATAGTTGGCTAGAATGGAGCCTGGTAGACCTTTCCATAATGCCTGGATAAAGAAAAAGGGTGCAATGATGAATGTTAGGCATCCATACCAGTCCTCCCATTAGGGGGTGAACTGAGAATCCCCCTTTACCCTTTTTACCACTTGTTGAAGGCAACCTAACACAGTCCAAACTTAGGTAGCTGTGGTCCTCCACACCCATTAGTCTGGCAGAACTGTCTCTGGCGGACCAGGGTGGTCCCTTGTACCATGAACCTGTGGCTCCCCAACCAGTGGGGATTTGTTTACTTGTCCAAGCATAGGGAGGCTGAAAGGGGAAGGAAGGCCCTCACAGGGAACAGGTCTGTGAAGTCCCTGGCCCTACTCCCTTTGTTTGGGCCAATAAGACTGTGGCCAATTATTGTCTTGGGATGCCTGGAATTAGCCATGAAAGTCATGAGGTGATAAAATAGTCTGTAAGAGTTTTAATTTACACTTGGACCAGGTAAAACTGAGGCTCATGGAAATACTGAAGAAAGTGTGGATGTCTGGACCCCAGAAAAAAGGAAAGAAACCTGATAAAATGTGTGTTTATGAAAGGTAGAGGGAGAACAAGGAAAATCCATGTGGGCAAACTTATCAGCAACTACAGGCATAAAACTTACTTTCTCAGGGTCCAGGTCTGAAGTTGTTTGTCATGTAGAAGGTAGACTTGAAGAGAGTCTAAGAGAAGAGAGAAAAGGAGATGGGGTAAGAGAGAGAGGGGGAGAAAGAGAGAGACCCAGATGCAGTAGGGAGTGGAGGAGAGAAACAACAACATGTAGGTTTGTAGAGACAAGATCAGGAAGGGATCCTCAAATTGCAGCTGCTCACTGCTCCTTTGTTGCAGGTCTTGCAGAGTACTGCTGTGAAAGGAAAAGACCCCCTGACTGGCTCATCAAAAGGTGATGCTGCGTGGCACACAAGGAGGCCAAGGGAGTCATTAACAGGTTCCAGATTCTTGTTATGGAACAAGAAGAAACTCAAGAGCATAGCAGAAGGATTTTAGCAAAGCACAGTAAACTTATTAGAGTAAATTTATGCATTGGAGAAGTGACCTTGGAGGCTGAGATGTACTGATAGGGTCTGGGTTGAAGGTTTTTATTAAATGTGGGCAAGGGGAGGATAGGTTGGTCCTCAGCCGTTGGTGCTGGTGGGGAGACTGCTGATATGACTCATCCTTCTCTCTCCTTTCCAAATAGCTATTTCTTTTTGATCCTCTCAATGACAGAAAACTGGGAAGGACAAAGCTGGTAAACATGTGGTTAGTGAAAACTGCATCTGTGATGTTCCAGCCAAGACAGAAGAGGGGATGGGTAGAGCTCGAGGCATTAAAAGTTAGATTAAAGAGCTCTAACTTTTCTGCCTCAGATTCAAGGAAAAACAGCACTGGGAGTAAGAAACGAAGGTAAGGAAGATGGTAGTGAAAGGTAAGATGGCATCAGAAGTGGAGCTTGAGGCAAAGAAGTTGAGAAGAAAGTGCTTGTGCCAGCTGGAGAAGAATCTCGAGGCCCAGTCTCCATAGAAGAGTAGGGCAGGTCTGAAGACGGATCCTGAGACGATGGAGTGGAGGAGGAAAAGGAAGACAGTTTTGCAGAGAAAAAAAAAACATGGTTTCAGATGCCATTTTCTCTTTTTAAATTTTCAGTAGCCTCTGTTAATTGTAAGACTTTATTTTTCAAAGAGGAAACTTCAGATTCTTTGCCTCATTTGGAAGCCTCAAAATGCCATACAAAATAGGCACCCCATTCAGTTTTACCAATTTTAGTGCTATTATTGTCCAATTCAATTTTGAGAAAATGGTTTGGAAATCTCAAAAGTTCCTAGAGTGGCCACTGATTTTCTGAATAACTTTTATTTAGAACTGTCCTTTTAGTTAAATATACACATAAAAATTGCTCCTGGCATTTAATTGGGTACTCTGCTGGAGTCTCTGGTGGAAGAGGGATGGCTTTAAAATATTTAGATAGCCAAGATTTCATTTTTAGATGCTCTTCTCTAGAGCAGAACCCAAGAAAATTTACAACAATTTGAGCAACCTACCCATCAGCTACCAGTCAGCCTCATTCTAGAACAGTCTTATCACAGAGGACTAAGCCAAAGGCGAAAAGCCACTTCTAGAAAAAAAAAAAAAACAACCTTTGAAAAGTACAGCTATAGGCTGAGCTGAGTGCTAAGTGGAACTCCTCTCAATGAAACAGCACAGTCTAATACTGGGCCAAACTGACTAATTTCAGTAGAAATAACCTCTGTCCCCAAAGGAATTTTTGGGCAAAAGCCATCTTTGTTTTGAAGGACAGCTTGTTTCCAGCATATTTGCCAAATGGAATAGTCACAGACAGAACAGACAAATAAGCAAGGCCTTTTAATGCTAGCAACAACAACAACAAAACTCTAAGCAACTGTCGAGTAAAGCCTGGAGAGCTTCAAAATGCAAAAAGCAGAAGCTCAATACCAGAAGGAGACTCACTCCAAGCTTCTGAACTGAAGACTAAGCAGTGAGCCAAAGCTGCCGTGTGTGGACTGCTAGCACCTGGATGCCTACCTGCCCTAAAGTTGTTGGGGATGTCCTCTGGAATCCTGGACGAGCCCCCCAAATGGAAAAAATAACATAGACTAGGTATCTCATCACCAAAAACGGATTTATTCAGGGAAAACGTCAGTTTTGCAGCCCAGGGCATACTGATATGGCAACCCTCATGCACACTCTGGTGTGGGTGCTAAGATGAAGGAGTGTTTATGAAAGAGAAAGTTCGTTAAGGGAAGGGGAAGTTAGAACCCCAGTGCCTAATTATAAACATAGAGTTCTTTCTGTAGACTCGGGCATAGGGTTCTCTTGCTTAATTTGAGAATGTCCGTAAGACGTAGCTTCATGTGTAGACCCTCCTGACTGATTATGTTTCCTCAAAGTTCCTGTTATTTTTTTCAGCAGAAACAATGAACAGGACTTGCTTCTGGCAAAGATGAACTTTTTAATAAAAAGTTATATGCCTGGGGCCTAACTGCTCACCATGACCTGAACAATTAGAAATTTATCATCAAGATCACCTTGTGAGGTTGCTTTTCATAGAACCCTCTTTTCACCCACAATTCTTATTAAAAAATAATAATTCTATCATGTTTTCTTTCTTTATCTTTTTCCTTGACTTTTGAAAATTATAAACCACAAAACTTAACTCAAATTTTAGGATGCAGAAAAGAGAATTAAGATTCAAAACAGACTTCTTTCCTAGGGTATGGCTGTATAGAGGTTCAGAACAGGTCTCCCCCAAATGTGCCACTTTAGCATGTGGATTATTTTGAGCTGAGGACTATCAAGTTCTTCACACTTACCAGAAACTTTTACCTCTTTCTTACAGAATTTAAATTAGAGGCTTTGCTCATAATTACATTCTATGACCTATTTACAAGGCAGGACACTTCTAATTTTTAAGTATCTACTCTTAGCAACCTGCTATGACCCTTTAAGCCTCCACAGAAGCTTACCTCATATTTAGTTCCAATGCCATACATACCTCACTTTAGTTTTCTGTCCCTTAAGCTCTCATACATGTGGAGTTTCTGACTTTCTCAAGTGTGTGGGTTTCTAATGCATATGCAATTACATAACCTGGGAGATTTTTCTTATATACCTGTCTCATGTCTACTTGATTATTAGACTAGCCAAAAGAAAGAAGTTTCTTTCCTTTTCACAGTTGGTAAGCAGAGTACCTCACTGGCTGGGCACTGCAGTAGAAAGGCACTGGGATCTGTAGCAATAGAGATGCTGATAAAGGTAAGAGTTCTGGCTAAATCAGGCTCCCAGATCTCTACTTACTGAGTTCAGTGAAAGCAGTGGTAAGAGCTTTTTTAAAAAAGATTTTATTTATTTATTTTTAGAGAGAGGAGAAGGGAGGGAGAAAGAAAGGGAGAGAAACATTAATGCGTGGTTGCCTTTTGTGTGTACCCTACTCGGGACCTGGCCTGCAACCCAGGTATGTGTCCTGACTGGGAATCAAACCTGTGACCCTTTGGTTCACAAAAGAGCCTTTTGTATCTTCTTCTAATTTCAGATTAGCAGGGGAAAGTATTTGTGAAACTAGCTTCTTGGACTTGGTGAGTCTTGGTTATTTAGTATGTGTACTCATGGTTTTGTTAATTCTGTTTTTCTCTATCTTTGGCATCTCTCCTTTCATCTTGTTATATGTCCTGAGAGTTTGGTCATTTTGACCAGTGAGAATATTTTCTCTGGTCTCCATCACTTGAAAGCTGTTCTTACAAGGGGTCTTTGTAGTTTCAACTTTTGTTGCTTGTTTAGTACTAGAAAAATCCCATTTTTCTAGTGGTGCCTGCCCTGTGCCACAAATTAGTGGATTTGATGCCAGAAAGTCATCCATATTTTGGGCGGAGAACAGAACTGCACCATTCTTACCACCCATGCCAGAAACAAAAGACAAAAAGTCTTTGCTTTCTCAGGCTATTTTCTTGCTTCCTTGGTTAAGCTATACCAGGCTTATCGCTTTGAGTAACTATTCATATCCTAATAAGCAAGGGCAGATGATGGATCCTCTGAGCCAAAAAAAAAATCTAGATTGAATTTTTTCCTTAGAAAGTTCTTATATTATTACCATGGCTAGTCATTATACCCTTTATAAAATAAAAGAGCAGAAATAAAAACAAAAATCAAAGTCTACTCTCACCCCTTCCTATTTGCCTTTAAACATTTGCAGATATTGTAAAAACAAAAAAAAAATCAGGACATTGCAAGCACATTTGCCCTGCACTTAAAAAGAAAGAGAAAAATAAGAATGGCAAAATCTTACTAAAAGACAACCTAAACATTTTGTCTTAAGAACTTGACTTGAAAAAAAACAACTTCTCTCATGAATGGCACACATAGGGCAGTTTGATTACTCTCTGTGCAGTGTAAACATCAAGAGGTTCAGAGAGCATAATTTTTTAGTATCTGGGAAGCTGGTGATTGTTGGTCCTGGCATCTGAAGAAGAAAAAAAAAAGAACTTGACTTGGTAACTGTTAGGTTGGAAACTCTAAAATATGACCAGACAGGAATGTGGGCTAAACCCCATTTATGGCTAGGGTCCTACCAAATTGTTGCCAGCCCTCAAGGAAATCATAACCTAAAATTATGATGTCTATGATGAGAAATCTTCCAATTAGATTAGATCATTTTAAAGTGCACTTACTAAGCAAGGGTTTCCAAATCAAATAAACAGAATGAGATAACTATTTTTAAATATTAAAACGGGTGTAACAAAGAGAAGACAAGAGAGTCACACGAGTCATACCAGCAGGATGGAAACCTGTAAATGGTTATTAATAATCTGGGTAAATAAAATGGACATTGATGGGGTTAACACAAAGGCTTTAATATAGCATTAGCAAAGGCTAAATGAACCAAAAACCTCCCTGCTGGCTCCCTACATGCACATTAAAGGCCCCCCCAGACGTCTGCTCTATTTATCTCAGTTTGGAAAAACCTAAAAAAACTGAAAGGCAGAGATTAAAATCCAAAACCTTATCATCAATTGCTGGAGGGAAACAGTCAGGCTGGTCACCGTTAAATCGAGTTAAAGATGGATAATGGAGCCTGATAACAGGGCTAAGTCCTTTTGGCTTGACTTCTCACTGGGACCCACCTTTTTTTACACAAAAGTGGGTAAAATCACCAAGGGATTGAAAAGAAAAAAATTCCAGGACTCCTTGATATGAACATTCCATGAACTGAAGTATAAAATCTATTAGTGAAACCCTGATTCAGTTTGCAATTAAATTTTTTTAAAATAAGTCTTTAAAAAAAGATTTTATTTTATTTATTTTAGACAGAGGGGTAGGGAGGGAGAAAGAGAGGGAGAGAAACATCAATGTGTGGTTGCCTCTCTTGCTCCCCCTACCGGGGACCTGGGCAGCAACCCAGGCATGCGTCCTGACTGGCAATTGACCATTGATCCTTTGGTTCGCAGGCCAGTGCTCAGTCCACTGAGCCACACCAGCCAGGATAGAAATGCAAGTCTTGATAAAATTATAAAAATTGGAATGTTTAAACAAGCTTAATGTAAAGAAGTTATGTTAACTTTACCTGAAAGTTTTATGGGAGTAGATATTATGACTGGCTGGGAACACTTCTCTATCAGTTTTTTCTTTTGGCTATCAGAGGGAATGACTCTGAAAGATCATGGCCTTTGCACTCTTGAAGGAGACTTTGAGTCTCAAAATTGTTTAGTGCTGTCAAATGTTTACTATTTGTCCCAGCTAAAACTTGGCTAGACTGGAAGGATTTAATAACTCTATCATTTGAAATTTGGCCAAATTGGAAGCTGAGATTCAGAAACTATTGGGAATGTTGTTTATGTCTAGTCAAGTCCCCAGCTAAAATAGAACTGTGTACCTGGAGAAGAAGATGCAGATTAGGAAGATGCAGAAAGGCAGGTAGATCTGCCTTTGATGGCACTTAAGTTACAACCCAGTTTTGAGAATAATTTTTCTTATGTTGAAATCTTCCTGAAACCAGAAATTCTGCTGTAGAAACCTACTTATTTTTATCATCCTCAATTCCTAAGACTGATGAAAAAAATAGGAAACCAAGGGGTGTTTTTCTGAAAGTACAAACCACTTCCAAAAATTTTTAAGGCTCCCTTACCAAGGACCAATATTAATGTTAACTATTTACTTAACAAATAGTCATAAGAAAAGCTTTAGCTACCTAAGCAACTAAACTTAATTTATTCCATCTGCCAGGAACATAACTTGGATCCAAATGTTTTTAATTTTATTTTTATTTGAACCTATCTTATGGCAATAATTTTAAGATGAAGGCTAAGAGGTTTCTGTATCTTTCTATATGTTTATATATGTTGTGTGAAATTTTCTAACTATGGGTTTTATTGCTAATCTATATTTGAAAAACTATTTAGTTGACTTAAACAAATGAGCACATATGTAATAATTCTCAAAAATATAACAGAAAGTAACCAAAATCATTTTCAGAATTATGGTATTTGGAAATATTTTATGTTAAAGCTTGAGTTCAATTTGGTTAAATTCACGTTTTTAGAGTAATCAGAATTAAGTATAATCTTATACTCTACTTGGGTTTTTAGTCAAATAAATTCATGTTATGCAAATGTAAAATTTGTCAGCAAGAAAAACAACTTGATGTGGTAAATTTTTCATAAGTAATCTAAACGTGGTTATTGAGAACAATTAAATTAAATAAATATAGGTAAGACAAACAGTTATTTTTAAGTGAACTCTTTAACAATAATTATATTGTATGTGTTTACAATATAGAAAAAACCCTGTTTTTCCCACTTAGGTCATATTTTCCCCAATCTCTAGTGATTCAGGCACTTGTTTTACTAAACAAATCTTACAAGGACAGCCTTGAAAATTTCCCAGAATTCTTAATGACTCTGTCATCCTCAATTATCAGGCCAGGGGTGAGAGAATTACTTGAAAAACTGGATTCAAGCATAAAAAGTTGGTGTTTTTTTTTTAAAGATTTTATTTATTTGTTTCTGTAGAGAGTGGAAAGGAAGGACACAGGGAGGGAGAGAAACATCGATGTAAGAAAGGAGCATCGATCAGCTGCCTTTAGCACACTCCCAACTGGGGACCTGGCCAAAAACCAGGCAAGTACCATGACAGCCTTTCAATTCACAAGTCAGCGCTCAACCCACTGAGCCATACCAGCTAGGGCAGAGAAAGTTTTAATTACACAAAACCGAATGACCTAAGGCAACAATGGCTACAATATTTATGACTTTTTGTCTGAAATGTTGCTGGTTCTTCTTTTTTCCAGATGTATAAGGATTTTTTTTCCACTAAAGCTAGCTATGGTTTAGAACTTTTGGTAAATTATATTTTTATAAACAGAATTGAAACATTTGTCTTTTACTCCCTACTTAATTCTCCAGAATCAGAAACTGACAGTGAGTGTTCCCATTTTCATTGCAGTATTTTCACCTATGAAAGTTCAGTAGGAATCTGTTCTTCCTGTAACACAACACAGTTGAAACTGGTTATTTACCCAGGCTTTTGTTACTGCACAAAACAGGGGGATTCATCTGCCTGCCCCCATAAAAGACAAATTCATAAGGCAGTTGCTGATGAAAAAGGAAAGAAGTTTATGTAGGTGCTGTGCAATCTGAGAGAATGGCAGACTCCCCATGTCAAAGTTCACCTCCTCTGCAAAACCAGGATAGAGTCCAACTGTCCTCAGCAACACTAAAGCAAAAAGCAGTGTCCAGAATTTTTACTCCATTTTAAAGTACTATCCTTTGGAACCTTAGGTAGTTTAGCTTGTTCCTGGCTGATGCCTATTTTAGGATCCCTCCTGGAGGCCATGGGACACGTGGATGCTAAAGCCACAAGGTTGTGTGCTCCTGGGACGCTTCCCCAGGTCAACAAGACAGAGGCTCCCTCCTGGAGGCCTTGGGCCATGTAGATGCTAAGGCCGCATGGCCCATGAAGAGAATAGCTTGCATTATCCTAATAAACATTCCTGAGCAGCAAGCCTTGAGCAAGGAGACTTCTTCTGTTCCCTTGGGTTTATTTTAGCTTGGGTGGAAAGGACCAGGTGCTTCCTCAAAATGACCGATTAACTTTCTAAATTTTCACATGCTTTGGTTGGGTCCACTTCCCATCCAATGCCTTCTTTCCCCAGGCTAGACAGACAGACCTCTCTGGTCCAGCACCTCTCCCTACACCATTTTGACTTCTATGCTGCATGAGCCTGCCTTACCATGGTTCCACTCCCAACCTGGAGCCAGAGGGGCAGGGGAAGAGCTTTTTGTATGCTCAGTGTAAGAACCTCCCCCTGCTAACATTCAGGCCAATGGAGGAGACTCCCTGGCACCCCTACAAACCACCCCATGGTAACACTTTGACTGGAATGTCATATTTGAGAGAGGCATTCATAGACTCAAATATGACCAGACAACTTTATGATATTAAGATTGATTTATGCAAGCCAATAAAAACTCTTGGAAATATTACAGGGTTCCTAGCAGAATATATAGTAAAGAGTGTCACTTTTTGGTAGGCGCAGAAACCTCAGGATATCAGGGGACATCAAAAACAGAGGAACTCATCGATAGGTATTACAGAAAATGTCTAATGACAAGTCCTTGCCTTGGCTTTTTTGGCCCCAAGAGTTCTGTGTATGTGCAATCTCAAAATTCATTATGGAAAATTCTAGCAAAGTAGGTTTAAAAGAGCCTATATGGTTAATCACTATTCTTACTGGCCTCGCACAAGTAATTAGGCCAAGTTTATTAAAATTAGAGTTATTTTGTAAATAAGTCAGTCTTGTTTATCTCCTAAAATGAAGGTGATTTTACAGAGAAAAATTGTTTCAATAATATACTTTTTATTGATATTAGATCTAGTGCTCCTCATTATCTTTGAAGGAGTTTGCTTTCTACCTGTAAACTGGATTTGGTATTGAATTCCTCTATCTTCCTCCAGTATTGGAATATGTCTTCTCAAATTAACATTTGCAATTTTTCAAATAACTCCAATTTGACATGGATTTACTGAGAAATAAGCTGCCTTTTTCCCAGGGCCATGCAAGCTGAAGTTGGACAACTTGGTGTGGACTTCAGAGAAATCACCACAGCAGCTAATATATGGACAACCTTTGTGCCTGTTGGGGAAATATCACCAGAGACATACATGCTAATTGAAGATCAGGAGAATCTATCAGATTACCCCTCCATGACTTCTCTCCATCTAAAGATACTTTGAGAAAGACATTTAGAAATTTCCTTGACTGACTGCCTTCAGAACTCAAAAAATGAGATTTCTGCTCCATTCACTGACCATTGATTTTCTTGTGTTTCCGTAGAAATACCTCTGATTAAATACCTGATTGTTTGAACCATGGGCTTAATTTTGGGACCCCATGTACACCACTACCTCCTGAAATGAGAGTGGTTTAATGCATTAAGAAAATATTTATCAACCCAACATCTGGAATGTA